TCCAAGCTCAGCTTGGTTTCATTTGTTTAATTATTCACTGGTATTTACAGCAAGCATCTTGTTCATCTGGGTTAAATGCAAATGTCAGGCGCTTATGGAAGGTGTTACCTTGTTGCTCTCTTTCCTTTGAATTTCTCCCCTTGGGGTAGAGGAGATTTCACAGATCCCATCACAGGCTCCTGAGCAGCTTATCAGGAGGGGGAAAGGAGAGAAAGGGGCCAAGACATGCCCCCAGTTTATGCTGCTTTTCACTTTATCACCCTAAACCGTCTAGAATTTGCTGGCTCTCAAGTTTAGCTGCGCTGCACCGTCACCAGCAGCTTCCCTGACTGCCCAGAGATAAATGCATTGTCGCAGCTTTGTAAACTAGATCCTAGAGCTGGACCCCCAGGGACCCGCTTAGCCCCTCCTGCAGGATTCAGTGGGTCCATGGGAGTTATTCCTGTGCTGGAGGGGAGAATGCGGCACAGAGAGGAGGGTAGTGCGTGCCTGCCTGGAGGAGGAAGAGGATAACCTCTGTGTAATGAACAGCTTAGCCCCCCAGCCACAGGACTTAGTGTGGTGGTGGCGGCACTGGGCTGGGGCGTGGCTAGGTTGAAAACAACATTCCAACTTTGTTCACCCTGTTGGCTTAAAGCACACTGCATCCCCAGCTGGCCTATCCATGGCGGCCAGCCCCAGCTGTGCTTCAGGCTGGCTGATCAGCACTCACCATTCTCGTACGTTGAACCACCTTCCCCTCCTCCAGCGTGCACTGCTCTATGAAGCCGCTCTATCGACTACGGCTAGGTTCTCCCAGCACTTGACCTAGTCTGTGGCTTGAATCACTCAAGTCTCCGCTGGACTTTATGGCCCTCTACGAAGGCCTGAGCCTGCAGCCAGAGACAGCACAAGGCAGCAGTGATGGAGTCATGGGGGCAGGGGGGAACCAAGAGGCTGTTGCGTTAGTTCACAATAGATCTGTTCTGCAGGGCTTGAACTGGAGCCTGCAGGCTGCCCATCCAGCCTCCACACCATACAACACTCAGCCCAGACCCGCACAGCAACAAGGACTGGTGGGAAGAGCAGGAAATGAAAGGCAGGACACGGTTTGCCACTGACTTACTGTGTGACCTACAGCAAGGTCACTGAGGGCCTGATTTGCAGAGGTACTGACCATAAGAACGGCCATAATGGGTCAGACCAATGGTCCAGCCAGCCCAGTATCTTGTCTTTCAGCAGTGACCAGTGCCAGGTGTTTGGAGAGAACGAATAGAACAGAGCAATCAAGTGAACCATCCCCTCTCATCCACTCCCAGCTTCTGGCAATCAGACACCCAGAGCATGCAATTGCGGCCCTGCCCATCCTGGCCGATAGCCATTGATGGACCTATCCTCCATGAACTTCTCTCGTTCTTTTTTGAACCCCATTCTAGTTTTGGCCTTCACAACATCCTTTGGCAAGGAGTTCCACAGGTTGACTGTGCGTTGTGTGAAGAAATACTTCCTCGTGTTTGTTTTAAACCTGCTGCCTATTAATTTCAGTGGGTGACTCCCTAGTACTTGTGCTATTTACTCCTTCACATAACACTTCCTTATTTACTTTCTCCACACCAGTCATAATTTTATAGACCTCAATCATATCCCTCCTGAATCATCTCTTTTCCGAGCTGAAAAGTCCCAGTCTTTAATTGCTCCTCATCTGGGAGCTGTTCCAGACCCCATGTCATTTGTGGCCCTTCTCTGTACCTTGTCCAATTCTAAGATACCTTTTTGGAGATGGGGTGACCAGAACTGCACACCAGAGTCAAGGTGTGGGCGTATTGAACCCTCTCCATTCCCAGCGAAGTCACCTGGAGTTGTTCAGCACTGCTGAAAACCAGCCCCTCGCCCTCTTGGCCTGTTTCCCTCTCTACCAAAGTGAGAGCAATGCTTCCCCCCTCCCCTTTGGGTACCCCCAGTAGGTGCCACACAAGTACCAGAGGCCGAGCAGCTGCAACATTGGCCTGGGAGTCAAAAGACCTGGATTCTAGTCCCAGCTCTGCCATGGCCTGCTGGGTGACCGTCGGTAAGTCACTTGGCCTCCCTGTGCCTCAGTTTCCCATGTGTGCAGTGCGGATGATGATACTTAACTCCTTTGTAAAGCACTTTACGATCTGCAGCTGAATAGCCCTAAGAGCTCGGTGTTACGCCTGTAATATCACTCTGCCCTTCTGTACCACCTGAGTTTCTTTTCCTGTCCACCTCGTCACGACCCTGCCATGGTAACACCTTTTTCTTGCCCAGATTTCACAGCCACATTTCAAGCGTCATTTTCTTTAGCGAGGGCTTTGAGCCCTCCAGACCACAGTGACAAGACCTGCTTACAACGCTGTTGCAATCTGTAATGAGGACAGCACCTGAAGTGTGGGCCTTATGAGACAGTAACATGCTTAGAGACCCCAGTTAAAGCCACGTCAATCCTATTCACTGAGCTTAGTTAGTGGCCATGTTTAAGGTCCGGCTCAATGCTGGAACAGTGTGATGAGCAGGACAGGTGACAATGGCATCTCCTCACTCAGGTGTAATTACAATGTAGATGGGGCCTTATCTCATGGAACCGAAGCGAGAACCCAGAGACTAATAACTACAAGGTGACCGATAAGCATCTGCCACGGGTCCCTCTCTCTCCGGACCTATTCCATTGGGAACGAGCCTGGGAAATTGCTGGGGATGAATACAAATGGCAGCTTTCATCGTCGCTCTCTTCCCTATGGCTAATGAGCTCTGTGTTTTCTGCAAGGATTTCAGTCTCACTAGGCCCAGAGCGGCCTCCAGCCCAGCCCCCAGCAAGCTTTGCACAAACAAAAGCCTTCTCTCTCTCCCGCCTTCCTTCCTCTTCCACTTGCCAAGTGTGCAGCAGGTGGGAGCTGCTCCCGGTCACAGGCCGAGGGGAGGGAAGAAGAACTTGCATGTCTAGTGCTGGCCTGGCTGCAGCTTTTGATTTGCGACCTGTCCCCTGAGCCAGAGGGAACACTCGGGGTTGTGAACATTGGTCTAGTGTCCAGTCACATCTCTTGCAGGATGCACAGAAAAATGTGTCAGAGAGCGAGCGAGTGTGCGCACAGCAAGAAGGCTGCATTCAGCAGCTCCAGGGTTTTAGGAGTGCTTTATTCTCTGGGCATGGCAACGCGTGCTGCTCACCTGGAAGGGGGAAACTGCAGGGATCAAAGACAACCCTAAAACGCCTGCGCCACCGCGGAGATGGCTCAGCCAGCATTGCACAGTACTTCCCCCTGCCTAGCATCGCTGTAGGTTGGAGGAGAGGACTGTACTGCTCAGACCTACCACTGATAAAATAGCCGTGAACACCCTCGCGCTGTAGCTCCAACCAAAGGCAATGAGCTGTGGTTTTGAAATGGGGAAGGCAGAGTTGCTGGCGCAAGAGGAGGGGGGCGCTTTTCACAGCCAATGGTGGTCGCCCAGGAATCTATGTGGGAAGGCTGTCTTCCAGGCCACCCTTTTGCTTCCATATGAAATGACTGTACTTAAAGAAACCAAAAACGCAGGATGGGACCCTATTCTCCCTGGCCCTGGGTGACCATGGAAACTCTGCTGCCGAGCCTTGTCTACACTAGAGCAGGTGCGGTCTGGCCCATTGCTTTGGGCCTCTGCCATAGTTGTAAGATGCTCTCATCCACAAGAGCTTTTAATAGTTCAGACATGCCACCTGCCGGTGCAAACGCCCTAGTCCCCAGCCGCTCTCCTAACCCCCCCAGCCTGCACCCCTGCTCAGAGGAGCAATGCTGGCATTGTGGCTGCACCAGTTCAACCAGTGCTCCTAGCACCATCCCACAGCCATGCTGCCCACCAGTCACTGACCGCTCAGAGCACCATCCATCAAACCACTTCCTCGCAGGCCCGAGAGCAGCTCCAGTGATACTTGACTGGTGCCTGCCATGCCCTGCACCCCTCCCCCAGCTTAGCAAAGGCACAGGAATGCCATCCCAAATCAAGTTTCATTCAGACTTGTTTTCTTTAAACTTTTACCAGCAGTTTCACAGTGTCTGATGCGTGGCTCCTCCCCTCCGGCAGACCCCATGCAGCACAGAAAGGTTAGCGAGGGTGCCCATCACATGGCACCTAAACACCCCCCCGCAGCAAGCCATCAATGTTCTGACCATGCCACTGGCTGGGGCTAGTGCTGCAGGGAGGTGGCTACCTTTCCCAAGCTCCTGCGAGGTATGGGACATTCACAGTAACATACACACCTCAATTAGTCCCAGCTCTCCACCCACCTGCCCCACAACCATTACCCTCAATCCACCCCGATGGTGAATCCCTGATCGCTACTCACCTGCCCGTGGCCCAGCGGCTCTTACCCCGGGGGATGAGCTGTACGTGTTCCACTGCATAAGCCTAGGGATGGGAAGCCAGCTGGGCTCTGTGGAGGGATCTCTTCCCTCCGGGAATGGGCCTAGACAGACTCTATCTGCCTCAGCATCCTACAAGGGATAAGAGGAGAAGGAAACCAGCCAGCAGAAAACAAATAACCCCCCAAAGCAGAGCCCAGCCAGCAAACTCTCCCAGCAGTAACACAAGCTCCTCCCTCCTCATTTAGTTTGACTAGATTTGAAACACCTGGCACTGACTGGCTGGCTCAGGACTGCATGGTGCATGGGGGCTGACTACCCCCCAGGCTGGCTGATGTGGGACTGGGGCCAGCCGTGCTGTGGAGAAGGACGTCCGTCTCCAGAGCTGCCGACCCAGCCCCGAGGGTCTGTGGAACTGGGTGTCAGGTCTGAGCAGCCTTCAGCTGCCAGTACTAGTGAGCAGCCTGAGCCGCTAAGGCACAGGGCTCTACCCCAGGCTGGGGACAGCTGTGTCGGGTTCCTGACAACTTGGGCTGAGGAGCCTCCTCAGGTCCCATCCGACCCATTCCCAGCCTGGCCAGGGGAGCTGTGCCGGGTTCAGCCAACGCGGCAAGCTCAGGAGAGGCACCGCCAGCGTTGATGAATCTCTCCTCTCTCGTCTCTGTCCAGGGGTGACGTGGGGACTCTTGCCGCGACCCTGCCATGTCTTGGTGCTGCTGAACCCCCAGAGTGGAACGGGGCACGCGCTGCAGCTGTTCCGCTCCCTAGTGCAGCCAATGCTGGCCGAGGCCGACGTAGCCTTCACCCTCTTTGTGACCGGTAAGTCTGCTCCCGCTGCAGCCACCCGGCGGGTTCTGCCATGCCCAGGCTGCCTCCTAGGGGCCCCTCGCTGCCAGGCGGAGAGGAGGGCATTTCGCTGGGTAGGGGACTTCTGTCTGGCTGAGCTCTCCCTGCATGGCTGGCTGTGTAGCCTGGGATAGCAGCTGATGGCCCTTCATTTCTACCTCTCTGCCCACCTCCCTGCCAGGTAACATCAGGAACTCTCCAGCTGGGAGTGTCTCAACCAGTCCTGCCTTGTAATATGCAAATACAGTGCAACTCATTTAAATTTGACCAATGGATGCACAGTATTCAAATGAACAGAAGCAGGAGAAGGGGGAACCCTCCCCTCTGGTGTGGCAATCCCACCTGGCAGCAAGGAGAACCCAAGGGTGGCAGCAGAGGGAGGAGAGCTAGGCAGGGGGAGATGCTGGGAGTGTCATTCTCCCATGCACCCATGAAGCCTTCCTGGGGGCCTACAGCGGTCCACAGCTTAGGAGCAATGGTTCGTGTGCCCTTGGCCATGAGAACTCCTCCTCTTGGCTTGGTGGGTCTCTCCCTGGCTCCCAGGCCAGGCTAGGCTCTTGCCAGCTGGCTCCGATTCTGGGAGCCTGGGTTGGGAAACCCAAGTGACATCCTGTGGCTGATGCCTCTCGTTCCAGGGAAGGCTGGGCCCTCCTGTCTCCAAGGGTTGTGCAAGGAGAGGAAACCATGCCGATTCCCGGCAGCCCATGGTTACCCCCACTGCCAGCAGCTCTGTATTTCTCTCCCCAGAGAGGCCGAATCACGCCCGTGAGCTGGTGCGGGCTGGAGATTTATCCCAGTGGGATGCTGTGGCCGTCCTGGCCGGGGATGGCCTGCTGTATGAGGTGAGGAGACGGCCAGGAAGCAAGGGCAGCTGTTATGCTGGCAACTAGGAGACAAGCCAGTCCCTTGGGCCTGGCCTTCCTTTACACCGTGGCAGTTGGGCAAAGGGAGTGTGGCTGCCCCCGGGCAGAGGCTGGGGGTGCAGAGCTTGGCTCTGTGCCGCCTCAGAGTTCGACGTGGGAGCAGAACAGAGAGCCGGGCGTGGAGGCGGCTCAGATACTGGGGGGATGGGGGGACGGTGAGTCTCTAGGCAGCAGCCTCAGGCCCAAACAGCACAGGTGGCCCTGTCTCCCCTGGGAGCCCCAGGCCTGGAAGGGGGAGGGGAAGTACGTCAGGACTGAAGGGCAGTGGCAGGGAAGGATAGGCCTGGAAGAAGAGGGAGCTGCAGGCCCGGAGGGGGGCAGGGGGGAGGGTGTGTGCATGTGGGGCACATGGCTGGAGCAGCAGGCGGCGCTGCAGGGTGGGACGGAGGAGCAGCAGCGGGACATGGGCTGGATGGTCACTGTACCTGGCTGGGGCAGGCTCTCACGCTGCCCTCCCCACCACTGTCAATGGCTAAGAAGGAGAAAAGACACCAGGGACAAATAGCTCCTGGTTCTGCTGCTTGTGCCCTGGAGCCAAGCTGGGCAGCTGCCAGAGGCACCGAATGAGAGGAGGTGGCACCCAAAACCTCCTCAGGCTTCCCTGGCCGGGGTGGGCATGAGCAGCTGGAGCAGGGGGCTGTGTTGCCCCTCCCAGAGCGGAGACCCCCTGGCTCCTTCTGGTCCATTCCCTTCCCCCAGAGCGGCCAGGGCCAGGATGGGGCTGTTGTCTCTGGGAAGCTGCCAGCTGTGTGGCTCTGTCCCTGCAGGTGGTGAACGGCCTGATGGAGCGTCAGGACTGGCAGGCCGCCATCAAGAAGCCTCTCTGCACCCTGCCCGGGGGCTCTGGGAACGCCCTGGCCGCTTCCATCAACCACTACGCTGGGTAAGGGCTTCTCAGCCGCCGGCCCAGGCCCTGCTCGCTGAGTTCTCACCCCTGGCTACTCGGGGAAGGGGCACACCGTGGAGAGTGGAGCAGGCCCCTGGCAGGGAAGCTCGCTGACAGAGGGGCAGTCACGTTCGCCCGAGACCTTGTAAACCTCCTTACACCATTGAAGCTGACTTCAGCAGACAGGAAACTAGTTGAACTGACTGCAAAGGGCTTCCCCCAAGGACAGCCTGTCTAACCACAGGGACTGTCCACTGGCAAGAGCTGGCCCCAGCCTCTGGTGCCATGTGGCTGGCACCATTCCTAGCAGCCTCGGGCTGCTGGAGCCTGGCTAAGGCAGCTAGTGAGGGCTGGATTCTGCCCAGTGAGGTTGAGTGGGTGGGCGAGAGGGTGGAGTTTAGCTCTACCCCTGCGAAAAGCAAAGTGCAAAGCTAAGGCCCCCTGCAGCAATTGCCAGCTTCGCAGGCAGGTGGCCCAGCTGGGCATTCCTGGGGTCTGCGGGGACAGAAAAGCCGGGTTAGAGCCACGGCCAAGAGCTACGCAGCAGCCGTGGGCTCCCCCACAGGGTATGATCACTATTTGTCTGTCCCCACGTGCAAGGAGAGCACAGACAGGGCTTGCTCTGGACGGAGAGACGTTACCATCCAAACTCCCCCCTGCGAAGTCACCCAGCCCTTCCTGCTCTGCTAACAACATCAAAGAATGGCTGCATGCTTCAACCTCCCTGCTACTCCTAATCCCACAGTTGGCTGGGGGTAGTCCCCCCCCCCTCCACCCTTTCAGCGCTGGCGACCTTTTGGAGCAGACCCCACTTTGTGGCTTTGATGAGAGGATTATTTGCATTTCAGTAGCAGCTAGAGGGAGGTCCCCATTCAGAACAAGGGGCCTTTGAAGCAGTGGGGCCACATGGATGGAGCACAGGACTCAACAAACCTGGGCCCTATGCTTGGCTCTGCCACTGACCTGCTAGGTGACCTTGGGCAAGTCATTTCACGGCCCCGTGCCTCAGTTTCCCCCATCTGTAAAGTGGGGATAATGAAAAGCTTTCGGAGAGCTACAGATGAAAAGTGGGGTAAGAGAGCTTGGGATTATTGTTAGTGCTGGACTCAGTGCTACCCACGTGCACAGGGAGAGTCCAACAAGCCCCAGAGAGTCTGCACTCTACCTAGGCAGCACAGAAAAATGGCCCGGGGGGGATCAGAGGCCAGAGAGGAAGTGAGTTGCCCAAGGTCACACAGCAGGGTCGGGGCAGAGCCCAGCTCTCATGGCTTCCACTCACCCTTTTCCCCCCCTGTTTTATGATCCTCTTTTCCCTGACCCTGCCTCGGCTCCCCACGTGAATGTCTCCTTTGGGGAAGCACCAGGGCCGAGACCAAACCCAGCTGTGCCTGAGCCTCCCCTGCCCGCTCTGACAGCTCAGGGGCACTGGGGGCTTGCCCTGGCAAGATGGGGTGGAGAAGCTCCGGCTCCTGGCATGGCTGGGGTAGAGAGAAGGGCGGGGGGGGGGGGGGGGCACGCAGAGGCAGTTGAACTGGCAGCCCTTGGCTCATGTTTCTCGTCTCGTGATGAAACTGCCATTCTCAGCTCTGGCCTTTGCCCCTGCACAGCTGGCTCGGTCCTCCTGCTGCGAGGCTAATCCCAGCTCCCGCTGCACAGCGCTACGGGTGGGGGCACGAACGGGCGGCTTTGCTTTCACAGTCACGCTGCTCAGCCACCTGACTGCTCCCAGACAATGCCTGGCCCTAGCTCACCGGTCTCTGAAGATAGGTGCTCCTGAGAACGCATGGGTCCCCTCCCCCACCCCGGCTGCTCCCTCCAGTCAGAGGGGGTGCAGGGGCGGAGGAAGACCAGCAATAAGGCCAGACGCTCCTCACGTCCCCTGGGAATGGCTCTCGCCCCTGCACAGAGCCATTCCCAGCCTGGCACTGGCTTTAGCTGAGTGTGCAGCTGGCTCCCCAAGAGAGGAGACTCAGCCTAGTGTGGTGATGGATCCACCCCCCCTTCTCTGCACCCTCCTTAGGCCTGGCTCTCTCTGTTTCCCCATCTGGACTTTCCTTCCAGCCCCCACTCGGGGAGTTGTGTTCCCTGTGCAGAATCCTGGGCAAGTTACTTTACCAATCTCTGCCTCAGTTTCCCCTAGTAGACTGGAGGTGATATTTGCCTGTGCCATGCAAAGTGCTTTGGCATCACTGGGTGAGACACTGGGAAGCTGCTGCTGCCTGGAGCAGGCCGAGCTAGGCTTGCACCAGAGTACATAGTGGTTTGGGCCAAGTTCTGCCTTCCTTCAAGAACAACGCTAAGCTGTGTGTGTGGCGGCAGTAGCTGAGGGGAGCTTGCCACAAACACAGTCCGTTCCGGGGCTGAGATAAAACTGGGCAGAAGTTTTATAACAAGTTGGGTTGGGCCAATCACTAGCTCCCTTTGAACACAAAGCCCAAAGCAAGTGTGGCTGTTGCCATTTCAATAGTGGTTTTTAAAGTGGTCAAAACCAATTAAAATACATTTTTTAAAATGGAAAAGGGCCCTTTGCTCTCACTCCAATATAAACCACTTCCTAGCCAGCCGCTTTCCTTCGGCAGACCCCTCCCCTGGGGTTCCATTCATGGGCGGCCGTCGGCAAGCCCAGCGCCGAGCTCGACACCTGCATAAAGGCCAGATTTGCCAAGGTGCTCAGTACCCGCCATTGTAACGCTTAGACCCTGAGCTTCCAAAGAGCTCAGCCCCTGACCCCTCCGGCGTTCACCAGCCCCCCCTCTCCCGGTCACCCAGAGCCCTGCCTGCCTTCAACATCAGCACCAAGAACAAAGCCTCTGCCAGGTCCCTTCAGCTGCCACCGCTGCTGCGCCTGGAGACAGAACAGCCAGCAGCAGGGTAATGGGAGCCAGGAGCTGATAGGACCAAAAGACCCCACAAGGAGCCCTTGCATTCCCAAAGTAAGACCCTGCCCCCTCCCCTACCAGCAAGGGAAGGGGGGACACTCCCCCATCTGCCTTTTTTCTGCTGCTGCCTGGGCTGGCTTCCTGTGCAAAGCTGCTCCGAGCTCCATGCCCTCTGCCCCGCTCTGCCCGGCCTCCCATAGCAGGAGCAGGGACTGCGGAGCAGGAGTTAGTGGAAGGGGGTTCCCAGCAGAAATGAGGGTGGATGTGACTTGCTCCATCTACTGGCTCTGAGCGGATTCCAGCTCCCAGGAGCTGCAAACCCTCCTTCCTTCTAAGCAGCCCCCTCTGCCCTCTGGCAGGCAGCTAGCTCCTGGGTGAGCCACGCGGGGGTTTCAGAGCGGCCACTGGGCCCCTAACAACGTGGATTTGGGCCAATGTGGAGGGGAGCAAAGGATACCTAAAACGAGACCTTGCAGAGCCCCCATTGCATGTGTAAATAGCCCAGCCTCCTAGCCAGCCGCCCTTGTTCTCCAGTGGCCAGGGCATGTCCTGGACGTGGTGTGAGGGCCCGAATGAGAGCCAGTAGGCAGAGCTCTGCTGTTCTAGGCAGGGCAGCTGCCACTACAGATCCATCCATGCCAACGATGCGCTCCCAGTCGCAGTGTCATTGGGGGACAGGCCCTTCGGTGCCCCGAGCCAGACTAAAGCAGTGCTCTGGACAGTGTTAACGACGCCCGAGGTTACACATGCCGGTGCCCCATGGGGCTTCTTGTCTGCCATGCCTCGGAGCCTGGCTCCCTTCCTGGCTCGGGCCACTCTCGCTCGTGCTGGCAGATCGCTCCTGACAGTCTGACAACAGCGGTGCGCTGCTGTCCGCTCCTCTTGCATCTGGTTATCTAGGGCCGTGCCTCTGCCAGGCTGGGCTGCAGGGCCTTGCAAACAAAGGCACCAAGCAAACCCTGTGCCTGGCCAACTGCCTCCCCCCCCCCCCCGGCTGCTGGAGTCTCTAACAAAGCGGGGCGCAGCCTACGGAGAACGGCTTCTCCAAGGGGAGCAAATGGGGGTCAGTGATGCTTCCGTTTGTGGAGTGTTGTGAGCTGGTCAGCCCAAGAGGGGTTCTTCCGGCTGGCTGGCCAGGAAAAGAATGGGTGGAAGCACTAGTTGAGTCTGAGCAAAGGGGCACAAGCCAGGGGAGTTTCTAGGGCCAGGTCTACACTAACCCCCTAATTCGAACTAAGGTACGCAACTTTAGCTACGTGACTAACGTAGCTGAAGTTCGAAGTACCTTAGTTCGAACTTACCTCGGTCCACACGCGGCAGGCAGGCTCCCCCGTTGACTCCGCGGTACTCCTCTCGTCTAGCTGGAGTACCGCAGTCGACGGCGAGCACTTCCTGGTTCGACTTATCGCGTCCAGACAAGACGCGATAAGTCGAACCCAGAAGTTCGATCGCTCGCCGCCAAACTACCGGGTAAGTGTAGACATACCCTAGGAGACTTTTCCTCTGGTGGTAGACAGAGGATCGCATTGATTCCAAGCAGGTGGGGATCTTTGAAACCCCCACTGGCTCTAGTCATGTTCCAATGATACTTAGTGACATTTTGCAATTGCAGTGTCTTCCTCAGCCAAAGGGGGCGCCCTGGAGCTGCAGGGATTTGCCTGGAGTTGCACAGCGAGTCAGCGTCAGTTCCCGGGGGTGGTGGGGGTGTGTGTGTCCCTGAGAGTCCCTCCCCCACTCCGACCACTGGAGCGTGCCTCGGACAAGGTGAGGGTCCCAGCTCAACAGATCTGCCTGCTTTTGTCTCTGTTACAGCAACACGCAGGCCTTCAAGGAGGAGCTGCTGACCAATTGCACCTATTTCCTCTGCAAAGGCCTGTATGCCCCCATGGACCTGGTCTCCCTGAGCACGGCCTCTGGCAAGCGCCTCTACTCCTTCCTCAGCTTCGGCTGGGGCTTTATCTCCGATGTGGACATCGCCAGCGAGAAGTACCGCCAACTGGGCAAAGCCCGCTTCACCGTGGGCACCATCCAGCAGCTGGCCGGGTTGAAGGTCTACAAGGGCCGCCTCTCCTACCTGCCCGTAGAGATGTCCTCCTCAGCCCCCGGCAGCCCTTCAGAGCAGAATAGCCACCACATGCCATGCAGCAACGGTCGCCCCCTCCACATCCTCCCTCAGCCTGCGCCGGGAGTGCCACGGCCCCCTCACGAGGGGTCCTGGCCAGAGGACCCTCTCCTGGTCCCCTTCGACCAGCCAGTCCCAAAGCACTGGACCGTTGTGCCTGAGGAGGAGTTTATCTCCATTTTTGCCATCTACCAGTCGCACTTGGGCGCTGACTTCACCATGGCCCCCACGGCCAAGCTTCACGATGGCTCCATGCACCTCTTCTACCTGAAAGCCGGGGTCTCCCGGCTGGGGCTGCTCAAACTCTTCCTAGCCATGGAGAAGGGGACCCATCTGGACCTGAACTGCCCCTACCTTCACTACCTCCCCGTGAGGGCCTTCCGGCTGGAGCCCTTTACTTCCACTGGGCTCATGACGGTGGACGGCGAGCCGCTGGCGTGTGAGCCAGTGCAGGGCCAGGTGCACGACCAACTCTGCAGGATCATCAGTGGCTCCTGAGCCACCTGCCAAATAAACCGCTTCAAAAAGGATTTTGACCATGTGCATCCCTGGGGTGCAGTGAGGGAGGACAGGCAAGGACCACTGCAGAGAATGCTTACTCCTCCTGCCACTCAGAGTCTTCTCCAGCCCGCTCCTCTCTTCTCCTCTGGAATAGTTCACAGGGGTCTCTTGTTCCCCTTGCTCTGCCCAGCCTCCCGAGTTCCCCCCCCCCCGCAGTCCTTTTCCTGCCTGGTCGCAGGCACTATGGGCCAAGCACTAAGAGGTTTGGTTAATTAGTTTGAGGGTGGGGGAGGGATACTCACAGCCTGGCCTGCCCCCTGTGTCAGGAAGCTCCTATGGGACGCAGGTGACTCCTGAGCAGTGGGTGGCATGTGATGGTACCCAAATACAGGTACAGCTCTTTCCAGGTCAGCTTAGCAGCTGCAAGGATATTTCTCCCACCACCCCCAGTCTAAGTGCTGGGCTGCTTCTCTTCTCTGCTTCCAGATCAGCCTATCTTTGCAAGGGACTCCGCAGATGACTCGCCAACCCAGGCTCTCCGCCGTACAGGCCTCCCCTGCATTTCTGTTCCTAGGTTCCCCACAAGGACAAAGCCAGTCTGCTCCCTTCCCACAGCTCAACTATACACTAAAGGCACAAGAGCGCTACCCTTTCCCCCAGGAGCAGAGTGCCACGGAGACCAAGCACTGCTTTGGCACCAAGCCCCTGGGGCCAGTGGGGAAATGAGAACTGGCTCCACTATAAACTTCTAGGGCCAACATATGTTACAATGAACCAATATTTTTTTAAAGAAAATATTTCTACCAAAAGCTCCATGGAGACAGAGTTTATTCTTAAAATGAGACAATAAAGATCTAGCTTTTCCAAAACAGGCGGCCTTGGCTGGTACATGGTGGGCACTCTGCTTTCATTGCAAACCTAAGCACCTGGAACTCCCAGGTTGGACTGTTTCCTCCCTGGGATTGCTGTGGTGTAATAAGCAATAAAGTTTCTTGGAGCAGCAGCAGCTCAGGGGTTATCGCTTTCCGATTTCGCCAGCAAGGGGCTGTGGGCGAATTGCTCCAGAATGCACTGCCTCTTGGCATTTGCACAAAATCCCAGTCAGCCTCGAGAAAATCCCTTTGTTCTCCGGCGTAGGGACGGGCTGGGATGACTCATGGTGGGCCGAGAGGTGGTGTCATCCAAATCCAAGGTATTAAAAAAATTAATTTTGCAGGGTCCATTTAGTTTATATGGTTTTAACTGTAGAGGGGGAAACGACCAATCTAGTCCAACAGCTGTTTCTCTAGAAACATTTGGGAAAAGTAGGCTAAAAACAATCAGAAATGTTACAATAATCACAGAGTTAAAGTCACACAGCATAGCACTCCTTGGTGGTCAGATACCACAGTGATGGGCAGCCTTATGAAAACCTAGACAGCATTCATATCCATGGCCCACACTGCATGGGTTGGGTTAGGTAGCAATACACTCATCACATCCACAGTCCAGCTGAAGCATGCTGTGACTTTTAGCACGGTGCAGGTACGTGATCTAAACAGACAAATGCTTGTGGGAAAGGGCTGGCTGTGCAGGCAGACTGAGCAGCGACCAAGTGCTGATTATACCCATTTCATATGGTGACACCAGTTTTTTTTTGGTTGCCGCTAATTTTTGATCTAAAGCGTCAGTAACAGACCCGGATTTAGAATGTTCAGCCATGACAGAGGAACCGCAGACAGCAGCTGCTGTTCACATTTATTCATCTGCAAATTATGCAATTAGGATCCTAAAGCAGGGAAAGAAAAGTCTAATTGTTTGCCAGCCAGTCATGATCAAACGGAGCTCAGAGTTATTTTCACTCCAGCAAGGCAGGCAACAAACAGGACCCATATCCCAAAATAAGGGGTAGGGGGGGAGGTACCTTTCTGTATGGCATTGGGCCAGGTGTACAAATGGATGCAGTGATGCTCTGGTCTAAACACTTTAACTGCGTCTAATTCCTTCCTCCATTGTTGGGCGATTAGGTTGTCAGGAACAATCAATAGCATGTACCCTTCAGCAGATGATCAGGTCTGCCTGTAGAAACGTCTCCCCTACACCACTGTTGCAAGCTTAGTTCTGGTTTAGTGTCTGAAAGATTCTCTCTGGAGAATTCCACCACATAGGCACATACAGGCTTTTCCTGCATGTCCAGCTCCAGCAGCTCTGGAATTTTATTTTGTAAATCCACGAGTTTTTCAGGAAGTTCCTGGATTCCTAAACCCTTGATCTTTCCCTTGATTTGATTTTCAAGGGACCCCTGCATAGGCAGTTGCCTGGCCTAGAACTCTACAGCCACAGCTTCTCTGCAGATGGCATTCCAGGTCCTGTGGTTTCCAAAGTTTGCCCCAGGTGCTTTGAGTCTGGTTTTACAGCAGCCATCCTGGCCCCTAGGCCTGCTAATCTAGCACCCTCATCTTTTAGCCCAGAGTCAATTGTCTGGAATTTGGTAACCAACGAAGTTGGCAATTGAGACTGTGCAAACTCCTCTTAAATGGTAGGTCCCTGCTGAGGAAATGGTAGTGCATGCTGCAGGCAAAGCCATGAGGCTTAAGGCCATCAGCATTGTCAGGGCCGGCTCTGGCTTTTTTGCCGTCCCAGGCAAAAAAGCCTCCGGCCGCCCCCACCCCCGCGGGGGCTCCGCTCTCCCCCCGGCGGCCGGGCGCCGGGGGGGGAGGGCGGCCAGAGCGCCGGGGGGGAGGGCAGCCAGCCCGGCTGTGGCCCCGCTCTCCCCGGCGGCCGGAGCACCGCGCCGCCCCCCTCCAGGTGCCGCCCCAAGCACCAGCTTGGTTGCCTGGTGCCTGGAGCCGGCCCTGAGCATTGTGTCCCCCATTTGTGTGGGCCCACTAAGAACAACCAGCTGTTTGCATCCACTCTGAGGTTTCTGCTTCAGGAGCGTAAAGCTCCTTACCTGCAGTAGCAGCAGCTCGTTGTCTCAGAGCTGAGCTGTTAGACTGTGCAGCACAAAAAAAGGGAGGCTCGTGTCCTATTGCATGTCAAAGTTACCCACCCACTCCCTGGAGGTTTCCTGGCCTCCCTTGAGTAGCCTTCCCCCCCTCCCCACCCCATAATACCCCTGGTGTTACCTTTACAAGAAGAGCCATCTGAGCCTCCTGCAGCGTGCCTGTGCGGGTGTACACCCAACCTGGCCATGGTTCATTCATTAAGGTAGGCCCCTGGCAATAGCTGCCTAGGAACAGACCTCCCTCCTCTCCGAAGAGGACTATATAAAACTAAACTAGTCTTGCTACCGCAGTTGCAGCCTACAGCAAGTGCCATTAAACCGCAGCACTCCAGCACCTGCCCTAGCATCCTACACTTAAGGTGATCTGAGCAGAGTGCGGAGCTGTTAAATGGTGCTCTGAACTCTCATAGCAGTCAGTCATTAAGGTTCACACGTACTTCATTTCTGCTTTGGTTTCTCCTCATGTCCTTGACCCTTGTCCCTACTGCCTGACTGTCCCTTTAAATCTTTTCTAACCACACCTGTTCAGTCACCGCCCTTTAAAAAAACAGTACTTACACAGAACACTTAAGTCCACCACCGTCCCAGAGCAGAACGCCATATTCCCATTCTGCAGCATGGGGGAAACTGAAGCCTTGTGAGATTCAGGGATTTGCGCCCAAAGTCACAGAATCAACAGAAGAGCCAGGATTAGAACCTGGGACTTCCTAAATTCCAGGCCTGGGCACCACCCACGAGCCCCTCTCAGCTTCCCTTTTTTGGTGGTGGGAGCCAAGACGTCACTCCATTCCATTAGGTCAGAAGGTTTGAGTCGTTCAGCCTCAGTTCACCGCACTGTGCCCAAGCAGTACCAAGGTCTCTAAACACAGCTCCTACACTGTCCTAGGGACTGAACGATAAGCTCGGCAAGGGCAAGTTGATTGTTGGGGTCATGAACGGGTTGCAACTGCAGCACTGACGGCTGAAACCTTCTTTCCAAAGAGGTGCAAGCTTCCACTGACTGCTTCCTGATCTCACTGCTCTGAAGGGCCTCCTCACGCTCCATGGACATTCTGTCCTTGGCCTCTCTGATAAGGTCGCCAGCTGAGGTCCTATCCACAATGGTAGTTTAGGATGCGGGCATGTGTCCACTGGCAGCTGGGCAAACCTACTCATTTCACATCAGTCCATAAACAGCTGACATGTGGTAGCTTTCAGGTTACTGCAAGTTTAAGTTAGATCTGAACAAGCTAGGTAGGGGTGACAAGCTGGCATCTCAGACCCCATCACCAGACTAGCTGAACTTGTGTGAGGTTGTTGGATCCTGATGTTACCTTAACTACTGGACAGAAAAGCTGCTCTTCCTGAACCTTGTATAAATTAAGAGCCTTATCCAAAGCCCATCGAAAGACGCCCATTGTCCTCAGAGGGCTTTCCATCGGCCCCTAGGTGCACCAGTCAGCTACAGAGCAGTTAACGAAGCTTTCCTCACACTGGCTCCACCGAGGATAGTAAAAACCCAGCTCTTACATAGCACTTTTCATCAGTAGATTTCAAAGCACTTCACAGATGGAGACACTGAGGTACAAAGAGGGGAAATGCCTTGCCCGAAGTCACCCAAGCAGGCCAGTGAGCGAGCCAGCAGAACTCAGGTCTCCCGAGTCCCAGTCCACGCGCTGCCCACTGGCAGCGGTGGTGATTTCGAGAGCAGAGTAAGAACCTCCTCAGTCTGAATAAAGGTGGCAGGATCTTTAGTTCTGTTGCATGTGATATACTCACCACACAGGGAAGAATAAAAAAGCACAACCAGAGCTATTCACAGAGGCAAAATTTAATGGCAAATCACCTTTTTCTCCTTTATTACATCTTCATTAGCCAAACCAAAAAAAAATTTTGCAGGTAAAAAAAAAAGTAAGTCACACAGCACTTTATACATATATGGTAAGCAACCCAGCATTCACATCTGCACGTGAACAACACACCTCTAAGCATGGCCTCGGTAATAGTCAGTTCCATTGTTTGTTTTTAAATACTGTACAGAATCAAGGCTACAAACTGATTTTGTAATATTTCTTCCCCGCCCCTCCCCAGCACTTCAAACAGTTACAGGCTGTTCTTATTTGTACATCGCAGTGTCAGGTAGCCAGGTTTAAGGCTAACAATATGCATCATGCTTTGGCTTTTTGTGTGGTTTTTTTCAATTTTTTTTAAGGTTTTGCCTTTTTAAATTTTGTTTTTAACCTTTAAATATTAC